CGGGCACACAGAGCCGTGCCCCCCCCCGGCACTCCCCTGCGGAGAGAGACGGGGTCACCAGCCATGCTCCCCCCATTGCCCCGGGCACACAGAGCCGTGCCCCCCCCCGGCACTCCCCTGCGGAGAGAGACGGGGTCACCAGCCATGCTCCCCCCATTGCCCCGGGCACACAGAGCCGTGCCCCCCCCCGGCACTCCCCCTGCGGAGAGAGACGGGGTCACCAGCCATGGGCACGGGCAGAACCGGGCAGGGGCTAACGAACTTTTCGCTCACGGCTCCTCAGGCCCTACGGGCTCCTTCCCTCGGGGGTCCTGGCCCCTTGATCCCACTGCTGTGGGGCTCCCCAACGGCCCCTCCACCCCAGAGGCAGGCGCATTGTGGGCTGCCCCATGTGCAGCTCCCGTGGCTGTGGGGCTGGCACTGGATGGTTGCACCCTGGGCCCCCAGCCTCCCGCCCCACAGCCCAACCCCTCCGGCTAGGCCCCTACCTCTCTGCGGGATGGGGTTCACCGGGACCCTGGGGCAAACGGCTGCCGCTTTCTCTGGTGCCGCCTCTCGGACCCGGCTGCCCTGCGGCTTCTTCTGCAAGAGAGAGGGTGTGGGCAGGGAGCTGGCGCCGGCCCCGCACCCCCAAACAGCCCACCGGGGGAGGGGCCCCTCTGGGGCTGGCAGCCCCCAGGGACAGCGGGCCCTGGGCGGAGAGCTGAGAACACCCCCGCGCCCGTCAGTGCCCAGCTGCCACGGGGGGAACCAGCCACCCTAGGATGACGGGTCTGGGACCCCGAGCCCCCTGCCTCCGGAGCCTGGCACCCCCACTCCCACCTGGCAGCCCCACACAGAACCAGGCCCCTCAGCCCTGGGGGAGGGGAGTGGTGAGCACTGGGGGCGTTAGGAGAAGGACCCCGGCGTCCTGGCCGACACCCCAAGACACTGCCGGGATTCACCCCCTAGGCGCGGCCCAGGTCTCGACCTCCGCCCCCCAGGAGCGCAGCAACTGGCCAGAGGCACATGCCCCCAGCCCCTGCTGCCCCCTACGGCTGGGCTGGCCCAACTGGGGGCCTCCTTCGACACTTCCTCCTGCCCCCCATGGGGGACCCCTCCAAGCCGCTGTGACCCGTCCCTGCACGGTCCGAGATTGGACAATGCCTGCCTATTAGGTGCATTATGGTAGCGCTGCTCAGACCCCGACCAAGATCAGGGCCCTGCCCCACAGAGCTCCCAGTCTGCACAGGCAGAGGAAGGCTCCTTCTTCCCATGGGACAGGTGGGGAAACCGAGGCACAGATGTGCGGCAGGTCCAGGGCAGCAGTAGCAGAGCTGGGAGCCACGCTCAGTCACCTCAGGGCCCGTCCGGCTGCTCTCAAGACTGCAGGCCTCAGGGCACTGGGTGCCGGGCGCTGCACAGACAGCGAACGGGCCCCCCCACCGCCCCAGAGCTCCAAACTCACCTTCCTGGACCCCTTGTCCCCGCCAGGGCCCTTGTTCTTGCTTTTCAGCGGCTCCCGTTTCTCTTCTGCCTGCAACTGCTGAGAGACTTGGGGGTCAGGGGGTCGGGGGGTGACCCCATCATGGGGGGGGGGGGGGAATTCCTGGACCCTACAACGCCCCCTAGGGGAGCGCCATGGGGCCTGGGAGCCGGAGTTTGGCCTGGAGGTCGCTGCCCCCACAGGCACCTGCACCCCATGGTGCAGCCCCAGGAGAAGGCTGACTCAGGACTCCTGGGTTCCAGACCCAGCTTTTGGGGGGGGAGCTTGTTATGGGCCCAGGCTGCCCCCACCCCAGCAAGTGCTCAGGACCCAGGCGTCTGGGCCCAGAAAACCTGGAACGGGCAAGGAGGGGTGGGACTCGCTTTCTGTGGGGCTGGGCCAAGAGCCCAGCCTGACTCACTGGGGAGGGAGACCCCCTCCCCCATGTACCAGCCCCCACTTGGCCCCACAGGGCTACTGGAGGAGGAATCTCCCAGGGGTGGGTCCTGGGGTACCAAGGGAGCCCCCCAAGAGCAGGGGGGCAGCTGGAGCTCAGGGGCCTTTAGCAGCCCCCCAGGCTGGTCCCGTGGGGGCCTTGTCCCGTTACCGTTCTCTGCTGGGGGGGCCAGGCTCTCAGCTCATGGTACTTGGGGGGTTGGCCCAGTGCAGCCCACATCATCCTGCCGGAGAGAGGCCCCGGCACAGCTGGGGACAGGGGGGGAAAGGCACCACCTAAGGGCTGTGGGCCTGGCCTGGCCCTGCTAATTAATGCTTCGTTAGGGACCAGGTGGGGGCCCCAGGCGCTATTGGTGCATCTCAGACCAGGTTAGTGCCAGCCATTGGCTTAGGCCGGGGGCGGGGCGGGATTGAGCCGGGCTGGGGCCCATCAGAGCTCACCCCCCCCAGACGGCTGAAGGGAGGGGGATGCGGGGAGAGGAGGGTCCCTTCCCAGGGGCTGAATCTGTTCACTGAGCCCCAGGAGGGGGGCACGAGGTCCCAGGATGCGGCAGGGTCGGGAAAAGCCCCTGGCCCGGCCCAGCGGGGGGAGTGGGGCGCGTTTCTCCCCTTTGCGGAGTCCCCTTTGCACCCGGCCGTTCCAGCCCGAACAAGGGCAGACCCATGAATAAAATGAGGGTCTGCGGGTCGGGAATGAGGGGCACCAGCAGAGCAGGGCTGGGCTAGCAGGGGTCTGCGGGTCGGGAATGAGGGGCACCGGCAGAGCAGGGCTGGGCTAGCAGGGGGCTGCGGGTCGGGAGTGAGGGGCAGAAATCCTTGAGAACAGTATTTGTGGGTGTGATGAAGTGAGGGGTTTCCGTGTTTTCCAGTGGGTTGTATGCAGAGGGGGTGGGACTCAGTTTCCCTGGGTGTTACTGGTTTAACAGAGGTGAGGGGAGAGGGAGTTTATTTTGCAGAGGACCGGAGAGAGGACTTGGGGACCCAGCCGATGGCCGGGAGGATGGATACCCCAGCGAGCGGTGACCTGGTGACCCGGAGGCCCAGCTGAGGAGACGCAGCCGGTTCTGGCCAGTGGGAGGACAATGGGCTGCAGAGTGAGGACCCGGTGACCTAACCAGCCGGTTCCAGCCAGAGGACTGAAGCGAGGAGAGGAGGCCCCGGTTTACGACCCTGTTTCCCTGGAGGGAAGACAATGGACAGAGGCGGGGCCTGGGGCCGGGGATCTCAGATGCCCAGCTGGGAAGCAGGGGGGCTCTGGGCTGGAGAGGGAGAGCAGGCGGAGCCCACCTGGATGCAGGGAGACTGGGATGTGCTGGGCTGAGGGAGGCCAGGCCTGAGGCCCTGAGAGTTTCCTGTGCTGTGTTCAACTCTCAATAAACCCTCCTGTTTCATGCTGGCTGAGAGTCACTCCGGTCTAGAGAACAGGCCGGGGGGCACAGGGGGGGGCATTGTCCCCTTCGGGGGTGGAGGCCCCGGGGGTCCAGAGCGAGGGGACTCCCTGAAGGGGCCCACGGCAGAGACAGACGTGCGAAGGCTCAGAGAGGTGCGGCTCCAGGAGGTGGAGGGGCCTGACCCCGGGAGAGAGTGGACCCCCGAGAAGGGCTGTCTCACTGAAAGGGGCACCCCCCACGGACCGCACGGGGCCAAGAGTGGGCCCGACCTGGGAGTCTGTGATGGGTGAAGCAGCCCCAGGGCAGCAGGTGTCCTGCATCTGCAGTCAGAGCGAGGGGGGCAGCAGGGCCTGGGGGGAAGGTGCTGTGCTGAGACTCAGGGGAGTTGGACTCTGTTCCCACCTCTGCCACAAACTCCCTGGGTGGCCTTGGGTCCGTCTCCACCACCCCCTGGGCCTCAGTTTCCCTAGCTGTAAAATGGGGATAATGATCCTCCCTTGTCTCTTTAGACTGAGATCGTAGGGCCAGGGACTGTCTCATGCTCAGGGTCTGGGCAGCGCCCGGCGCCCTGATCTCGGCTGGGATCTGGGCAGCACCCAGCCCGACGGGGCCTGATCTTGGCCGGGGTCTGGGCGGCACCCGGCCCGACGGGGCCTGATCTCGGCTGGGGTCTGGGTGGCGCCTGGAGCGTCGGGGCCCTGATCTTGGCCGGGGTTTCTAGCAGCTGCTCTAATTAGGGTGACCAGCTGTCCCGATTTTATAGGGACAATCCCAATTTGTGGGTCTTTTCTTATATAGGCTCCTATTACCCCCCATCCCCATCCTGATTTTTCACACTTGCTGTCTGGTCACCCTAGCTCTAGTACACCTAGTGAACTCTGTCTCGTTCGCTGCCTCGTGCAGCTCTGCTTGGCGCTGCCTGTGCTCTCGCACGTGACGGGGCCGTGGGAGGGGGGCGGGCGGCTCTGACACCCCGTCAAGCAGGAATTTATTCCAGGCTAAAACACAGAACGAATGCTCCTGTGCTGGGGGAGCCGCTGAGGCCCTGGTGTCGATTGTGATGCGAGGGCAGCAGGCTCTGGCCCCAGGACAGCGTGGCTGGGCGCCCTCGGGACAAGCCGGGCTGTGCCTGGTGGGCGGGCGGCCAGGGCGTATGGGGTCTCAGGAGAGAACTGAGGGTGGGGGTGGGGGGGCTGCAAAACTCCCTCTGCCTCCAGCCCACTCCCCCAAATCCCACAGCCTGTTTTGCAAAAGGTGTGTGTGTGTGTGTGTGGCGGGGGGGGGGGGTTTAAAACCGTGATGTCCAAGTGAAAATCCAACCTGGACAATAATTCCCTTCGGCCTCCCTAAACCGCCCCTAGCTTCAGCTGGATGCTTCCTTGCAGCCGTTCCATGCTGCTGTTGAACGGTTGCAGTGTTTCACCCCAGAGATGGCTGCATATCAGGGCTGGTCAAGGGATCCCCGTATAAACAGCGCCTGCACCGCACCCCATCCCAGAGGGGGCTGTATCTTAGCACAGCACAACAGGCCCCTGCCCCAAGCTCCCCCCCGAGACAGCTGCATTCCTCGAGGCAGTGACATCGTGTACGTGTGTAGTTGGGGATCGGGTCCCGTTGGGTTGAGAGGCCCAGAGAAAGGGAGTGAAAGGGCCACGCTACAGCCCCACGTGCTGTGGGAGGGGGTGAGGAAGTGGCGTTCAAGCTTTGGCACAGTCTCCCCAGACAAATATGAGTCAGGTCCCTGCCTCTCTGTGGCCTCAGCTCCCCCTCGGTCATATGGGGGAAGGGATCCACCGTGTGTGTAGACTGGGACCTCAGAGGGGCCAGACTGTATCGCACTGTATCTGGGCGGCGCCCGGGCTGACGGGGCCCCGATCTCGGCCGGGGTCTGGGCGGCGCCCGGCCCAACGGGGCCAGGAGAGGCTCAGAGGAACGCGTGTTGCAGCTCCTGCCCCCCCACCCGGAACCAGCCAGCCCCACCCCCCGCTCCGGCTGCTGGCTCCCTTCGGACCCGGCGAGTCGCTGAGCGGGCACAGGGCCGTGGGGGTGCGCGAGGGCCTGGCTGCCCCCAGGCCAGGCCCCTGCAGAACCCAGAGGCACTAGGAGCAGAGGACATGGGGAATTACTTGCAGACATCGGGGGCTCCCCAAGGAACCGGGGGGAGCCGGGCCTGGTTCTCTGGGGCTCCGCCCTGGAGCCTGGATTTCCTAGTGTCACACTGCAAGCAGGCGCTAGCCGGGGAAAGGAGGCCACTGCCCCGGCCCTGCAGGGCATCAGCTACCCCCAGGCTGTTTTCACTCCAGCGTCGCGGGTCTCTGGTGCCTGTCTCCACCGCAGCAGGCCGCACGCGCCCAATAGGATACGGGGCTGGAACAAGGGCAGTTCCTGGGGGTGAACCCCAGCACCGGGCGGCTGCGACGACGGGATGGGGGGGGGAGGGGGGAGAACAACACAACAGGCGGGACCCAAAGCTCCAAAAAACGTTTTATTGCTTGTACCGTACAAATCCAAGGGCGCAGGTGAGCGCGGCGTGGACAGATTTACAGAACCAAAACACTCCAGGAACATCACCTGCCAGGTACTAGGCAAAGCTAGAACATCCGAACTCACACCCCTTATCTTACAGAGCGAATCAAGTATCCGCGCCCGGCCTCCGGGCCGCGTGCTTCCAAGCTTCACAATCCAGCTTTGGAGAAGTTTGTCCCCCGTCGCTGTCGGGGAGACCCACGAGGACGTGTCAGTCTACGTAATGCACCTCAACTGTTCAACTACAGAAACGGGGAAAGCATCCGGACCCCGCCCTGCTCCGAGAGGGCGAAGAGAAGGGGGCCGGGCCGCTGACGGCTCCTGGCACACCCCAGCGCCATGGCACAGCTCTCACTCACAATCCAAGGCTGGTGACAGGTCAGCTCGGGGGCCGCCAGCGGAGCCGTGCCAGCTGCAGTGTCTGCGTCATTCATCCGAGGTGCCCATCGCATTGGGGGCTCCCGGGGGGAGGCTCCCGGCACCACAAAAGTAAAACCTCCCGCCCCACCGGGGGAGAAAGCTCCTGCCCCACTGGCTGTTCGTCCATCCTCAAAGCTGGGTGGACACCGGGCTGGGCCGCAGACCAGGGCAGAGGAGAAGCGCTCAATGGGAAGCGTGTCCTGGCACAGCCCCTGCCAGCCGGGGAGGGGTGGCCCTTCACCCCTTGACGCTTGGTGAGGCACAGGAGGGCACCGGACGGGCAGCAAACCCAGTAGTGCTGGTGGGAGGGGAGGACTCAGCAGCCCAGCACCTGAGCCAGGTGAATCATCATGAAATTCCAGCCACACGCAGCAAGCAAAAGGCCAAATGGGCATTAAGGCTCAGCGAGAAACAGCCAAAGCGCCGCGCCCGGGGGGAGCCGGCCACCCGCCCAAAGCGCCGCGCCCGGGGGAGCCGGCCACCCAGCCCAAAGCGCCGCGCTCGGTGGAGCCGGCCACCCGCCCAAAGCGCCGCGCCCGGGGGAGCCGGCCATCTGGCCAGAGACAGGCAACCCAGGGGGACACATGGGTTTTAAATTAAAGCTTTGCTAAGGTCCCACCTGGCTCCCTGACACATGCGGCGTGAAATACACAGGCCAAGCAATGAAGCACTTTGACAGCATCTGCAAATGCTTCTCCACCCCGGGCAGCGCCGCCCGCCCGGCAGCCAGCGGTCTGTGCGCGGTCGGCCTGGGGCTGCCCAGCAGAGCAGGCACGGGGGTGACGCGCTGCTCCCCGGACGCCGAAGCTGCCAGCTGAGTTCTGTGCTTTCAGAACTGGCCTCGGCCGCTTGCGCACAGGCCTGACGCAGAGCTGGGGGAAGCCCAGGGAGGTTGAAGGCACCGGACTGGGAAACGGGGGTTTCCTCCCCAGCTGTGTAACCCTGGGGGAACAACGGAGATAAACCTGCTGCTGGGACCCTAGGGGCAGCCCCGCGCCTGGCGGGGGCCCCCTCCCCAGGCCCAGCTGCGCAGGGGGGAGACTAGCTTCTCTCCAGCGGAGGCAGGGCACAAAACCGGCCCCTGAGTTCTGCCTGGGGCCCCACGTGCAGGGCCGTTCCCAGATGAACTCCGGCAGCTCGGGGGCACCTGCCGTTCCGCAGGCCCCCACCAGAGCCCTGGGCTGCGGGAGGAGACAGACCGGCGCTGCCGAGATTCTCCGGCGTGCTCTGAACGAGCAGGGGGAACCTGCCCCAGCCCGTGTGCCAGTATTGCCAGGGGCGCGTCACAGGCGGGGACAGGGCACGAGAACCACCCCCCGTCCCCTCCCCGCCCGGGCCGATGCTGCACAAGGCTCTGAGCGCCAAGTGCCTGAGCCTCAAATTCAGCCCAAGTACCCGCGTGCGAGCAACGCTGGAGCCGTATCTGGGGGTGGAGGGTTAAGGGGACGTTGCCGCGTATGAACCCTGCGGACCCCCTCGCTGAGTAGCCCAGGTCCTGCAGCGAACAGGGGGCCCAGCCCTGCGGTCCGGCCCGCGGCTCAGAAACGCGGGCGCCTTTCCAGGGGGGCAGCCGAGCAGTGGCAAGTCTTTCTCCCAAATCGCAGCCAGGCTGCGCGGCTGGCTCCGGCACTTGGGACGAGGCTCTCGCCCTCCCTGAGAGATTCAGAGACTTCGGCGAGGAGCAGCTGGAGAGGACCGGGACGCAGTTCGGCGCCGGCTCAGACACAGGTAAAGGCAGCAGAAATACTCAAGAGCTTAAAAATGAAGAGCTGGCAGGTATGCCAACCCCCGAGGCGGCAATCCCGGGGCCTGACCGCACAGCACGGAGAGCCGAGTACCCGAGAGCCCTGGCCCCCATCCCTCAGATCAGACCTCATCGGCTAGTTCCCAAACCACCAGGCCACGCGGTGTCTTGGGCGTCAGCCGTTCACCAGTGCGTCCGTTGCCTGCAAGGGAACCGCACCGTGGGGAACCAACCCCCGGAATTAACGGCTAACTGGCTGACCGAAGTGAAAATCTTGGGGAAAAAGACCCCGCACGCCAGGGACACAGCTTGGCTCAGGCACCAGAGCAGGCGAGAATATCCCATCACAACGTGTCTGACTGAAAACCTGGGTGGCCCAGGTTCTCTGTCCGAGCAGCTGCAGCAAGCCCCGGCGGCTGGGTCCCCCGCCACGTGCCCTGAGGGCGCCTCACCCGCACAACGGGGCTGGAACCTGCACCCCAGGCAGAACGGCAACCGGCTCGCTGCGATTTATGGCCCAGGCGTAGCTCAGAGACACGCTGGGCTCTGGGACGCCAGGAGGAGCAGAAGGCAGCTGCTCCCCCGGCCCCTCAAAGCTGCAGATGGTTTCAGATCGTTTGAGTCTGACCCGCGGGGTCCAGGGGCCGGCAGCCTAGTGACAATGGGGAAAGAGCGCTCAGCTCCCGCGACTCGGAACGGTCTCCGGCGCCCGATGCACTCTGCCCAGCCACTGGCGCTGGGTGGGACAGGGCGGCGCCCCCCAGCCCTCGGCAGCGTCAGTGACAGTGCAGGGTGCGTCCTGCTGGGGAAACGGGGCCTTTGGCGCGTGCTGCGGGAAAAGCCTAGCCCAAAGTCTGGGGGCTGCGCTGGCGAGCGAGAGGCTCACAGGAGTTGTGGAAGGAGCCAAGCGCTGCAGCGTTTAGTAGCCGCCCAGTTGTTCTGTATAAAATCCTGCTGCACGCCGGGCGTGAACTGACCGCAGCGCCGAGCGTGCCGACTTCTAGCTTTAAGGCAGCTTTGAAGAAAAAACGTTATTGCTTTTACAACTGTGCGCGTTGTACACGGGTACCGCCGGGGGCTGGGGCCGGCTCTCCCCGGCGAGAACCCCGCCCGTCCTGACACGTCACTTCCCGTGGAAAGAGCCGGCTTCTTCCTTAGTGCTATTGTGCTGTGGGAGCCCTGCTGGGCCTCCGGGTGCCCAGCAGACTCCCCGCCCCTCCCGCCCGCGCGCTGAGATCCACGCGGCTCTGGCGGTGCCCCTTGCCCAGCAGGTGCGAGGAAGGGCTGTCAAGATGTAACAGGCAGAAGAGAAAACAGGAACATGAACCCAACCTTGGGGCTGGCGAACCAGCGTCCCTCGTGCACCGGAGCTGAGCTAACGGAGCAATGAAGTGAACAGCAGCCCGCCGGGCTCTCGGCCTGCTCGGAGGGTTACCGTGCGTCCCAGCGGAGAGGCCGAGTCACGTCAGGGCCACTCAGCGGCGCTCTCCAGAACCAACAGAAATCTCTGGACAGAACGGGCAAATGCGAGTCAGTTTCGATTCCACAGGATTCCTCTCCACGAACCTCTCCCCGGAGCTGGGTTGTAGGTTATGGCCCGCAGGCCGCGAGGGGCCCTCGGCGCTGGAGGAAGGCTGCGAGAGGGGTTCTCTCGTGGGGTGGGGTGTCTTTAAAAGCTGTAAGCACTTCGAGGAGTTTAAAATAAAAGCAACCCCATGGGACTGAACCAGCCAGGGCTCGGAGCTGCTCAGAGCCACGGAGCAAGAGCACTTCCTTCCTTTCCAGGCGGCTCCCCGCCCGGCCGTGCGATGCCAAACTGGCAGAGGTTCAAACAGCCGGGGCTGCCCCTGCACCTCCGGGGGGCCGGGCTAGTGTGTGACCAGATTGCTGGAGAGAAATCCCAGGAACAAAACCAACCAGGTCTCCTGTGCTCGGAGCCCAAGTCTCTGCCGGCCGCCGCCTATTCTCGGATGCTGGCGGAGTAGGAGAACTGGGGGAAGTGCGTCCGCTGATCGGCCTCCAGGGAGTCCATGCTGTCATCTGCAGCCAGAGAGAGAAGCGGCTTATTGGGGGGTGAGGGGGGGTCTCCAAGCACCACAGGGAGTTGGAAGCACAGCGCCCAGGTGGCCTTCAACAGGACTCATGCTCCTAAACCCCTTGGGTGCTTCCGCAAATGGCCGCCAGAGCACCTGTGCAACCCAAGATGCCCAGGAGTTGGGGTACGTGGTGTTATCTCCACCTCCTTCCCACCAAGAGAAAGCTGGGGGCCCGCTCCCAGTCTACACTGGGGACCACCTTTCCCTTCTCCCTCCGCGAGCGGCTCTCGCTGCGTGTCTCAACAATACAAGGCCCCGGACCTGGGCCGGTCCTTGTGAGTGCTCCCAGAGTATGTGTGATCAAACCCTGCGTCTTGGGGTCTTTCAGCCGACATCCCTCCACAGACATCGGCCACTCAGCGTACAGCCCCCGCGCATGCCCTGGCCCCGCTGACGACCTCGCTACACAATGCGGTGCCATGGCAGTGGTTAGAACTCAGGAATCCTGGCTCCCGGTCCTGTGCTTAGGCCACCAGACCAGCCAGGCTTGCCCTGTTTCTGTGCTGGGCGGGGCGAGGCTCCCTCCATTTCAGCCCCTCCCCAGAGCCCGGCGCGGCCCAGTCCGGCCATACTCACATCGGTCAGGAGGCGTGATGGTGATCGACTGCGCCGTGAACTCATCGTCAAAGTATCGTGTGTCGATCTCAGATGTCACTTGGGGTTTAAATGGTGGGACGAGCTGCCGAGCAAGAGAGGCTGCGATCGGTAACCAGGAACGCCCACTGGCTCCCCCCGTCCCCAGCACGACAGCTCGGCTGGTCTGCGCCTGCCACGAACCAGCCCAGGGCCTGGCTCCACCTCGGCTCCCACGGCTGCTGAGAGCAGCGTCAGCCACCGTTACACCAAGCGACGCCGCTCGCCACCTGAAACCAGCCCGGGGACCCAGGGGCTGCGCCGATTTCCACTCACCCTGAGCTAATCCGCACCTACACCGACCCGAGAGAGGTCGCCGAGCAGGGACACCTGCCTGCCATGTGAAGGGAGGTTCCCACGAGAAGCAGGGCTGGCTTTAGACACAGCTCCAACCCCTCCTCCCCCAGGTCTGCAAACCAATCACCGCAGCTCTGAACCAAGGCAGGAGAAGACGTGCAACTGCCCGGCCCAACACCTCGCACCGACGCTGGGGTGTATCGTAAGCTGTTGGCCAGGTCTGTGTTTACGTCCCCAGGACCTTGGTATTCCTGTGTGAACGGCTCTATTCTACCGCCCACGCCGGGCAGAAACCAGCCCCCTAGCATGGCCAGGAGTCCCGCAGCCTCTCCCAACCCTGCCTGGGTCACTTTTTCAGAAGGACGATTCTAACGGGACAGTGTCGTTTTACAGCACCGGGGTCTCGCAATTCACACCAAAGCTGCTGTGCTGTTTGCAGACAGAGGTTCCTCGTGGAGGTTTTCAATGCAGGGAAACGAGCGCCAGGATCTCCCGTCCTGTAATCCCAGCCTGGCCCGTCCCTCCCAGCACGTGGGACCCCGAGCTCTGCTCCGTGCTGACGAGCGGCTTTTGCAGCCTCGCATGGACACTCGGTGGCTGTTCTGAGAACTCTTCAGATAAGTGGTTCAAGGGCTGAGAAAAAACCCAGCCTGTCCCCAGCAAAGTGGGTTCCCCCTCTTACCTTCTTCTGAACCACGTCTTGCCAGTTGATGGCCGTGAAGAAGCGGTGCTCCATCACCTCCTTGGCGTCGGTCGGCCCTCCGCCTAGCCTGGGGACACAGAGCATCTTACTCCCTGGCCCGCGCTCCAGGGCCTGGGCTACGGGCACTGCTTTCCAGGTGCCATTTGAAATCCGGTCAGTCAGATGGTGCCAAAGGTCAGGGAGCCCCTTGTAAAGCAGCAGGATCCCGGCCTGTGTCGACCAGCAACACTGAAACCAGCGCATCGACCTAGGCTCTCGGCCTGGCCCTGCTGGAACATCGGTGATCAGCTGCTCTGACCACCTGGCCAAGCCAGGCCACAGACCTGCCCAGGGAAGACCCTAGAAGCTTTAAGCCCTGTTCTCCTGGGCAGGAGCCGAGGACACTTCGCCTCTGGTCTGCACCTGTCATGGGGGATCTCCCGGCCCTGACCGTCTCCCTGGCGACTGACGCACCAGCCGCAGAGCAGCCGCCAGCGAGAGCCGGCGCCATGTGCCCAGCACCCACCCACCTCTGCTTGGGGTCCTTCTTGAGCAGGCCGGCCAGCAGGGCCTTGGCCTCGGGGCTGAGGGTGCGGGGGAAGCGGATCTCCTCCATGAGGATCAGCTCGAAGAGCCGCTCGTGGTCCTGGTTGTAGAACGGGAGGCGGCCACACATCATCTCGTACATGACGACGCCCAGCCCCCACCAGTCCACAGCCCGCCCATAGTCGTTGTCCTCCAGCACCTGTGCAGGGAAAGCGGGGGGCTCGTGAGGGGCGGAGAGGAGTCCGGCCACTAGCCCCCCTCCCCTCCCCGAGCCGTGACAGAACCCAGGAGTCCTGGCTCCCAACCCCCACCCCCACCCCTCCCCGAGCCGGGACAGAACCCAGGAGTCCTGGCTCCCAACCCCTACCTCCACCCCTCCCTGAGCCGGGACAGAACCCAGGAGTCCTGGCTCCCAACCCCTACCTCCACCCCTCCCTGAGCCGGGACAGAACCCAGGAGTCCTGGCTCCCAACCCCCACCTCCACCCCTCCCCGGCCCGGGACAGAACCCAGGAGTCCTGGCTCCCAACCTCCCCTGCTCTAACCACCAGGCCCCCCTCCTCTCCCCGAGCCGGAACAGAACCCAGGAGTCCTGGCTCCCAACCCCCCTGGCCTGGGTCGGGGCGGTGTTACCGTAATACACCTAATACACCCGGATCAATACCTCCGGGGCCAGGTACTCCGGCGTCCCGCAAAAGGTTTTCATGGTGGCGCCGTCCGTGATGCCTTCCTTACAAAGCCCGAAGTCCGTGATCTTTATGTGGCCGTCTTTATCCAGCATCAGGTTCTCCAGCTGAAAGGCAGAGAGGGAGCGAGGGGGTTAGAGCTCCGGTTAATTCCGCTCCCTCGTCCACACGGAGCCGAGACGGTGAGCTCGATGGGGCGTGGGGGCTAGTCCGCCACCACCATCGTTAGGCCAGGTTAACGATCAACAGCAAGTCAATCCTCGTCAACCCCAGAGAGATCACTGCGCCGGACGCGGGCGGTCTGGCTGCTTTCGGGAGCAGCCCGGATTCCCAGCTGGAAGCCGCCTCTCCTCGCGGGTACAGTGGCCGGGCAAGAAGGCGAGCCAAGGGTTGGGTAAAAGAGGAAGTTTTTAACTACCCGCTCGCCAGGTCGTACTGGGGGCTGGGACGGAGGCCTCAGAAGCAGGGACAGGGGCGAAGGGCCCTTGCCACCTGTTCTCCAGACGCCTTCCTGCAGTGATGAAATCCAGCCAGGGCACGGCGCTGCTGAGACACTCAAGGGCCTAGTTTCCAGCGGCTCTGAGCACCGACTCCAGCTGCAGCCCCAGCGCCCAGGGAGACGGCTGATTGCCCTGACATTACCTTGATGTCCCTGTAGACCACGTCCCTGGAGTGCAGGTACTCCAGCGCCGACACAATCTCAGCACCATAGAAACGGGCCCGCTCCTCCGTGAACACGCGCTCTCTCGAAAGGTGGAAAAACAGCTGGAGGGAAGGAAAACCGAGCGGGGGCCGTTAGTGCGAAGGCAGCCAACCGAGGGCCGATGGCTCTGGCAGGTCTAGGCCGGCGGGTGCGGCCAACGCACATTGCCCTGGGCACTCAGAACGCTGACAGCCCCCGAGGCGGGAGAACGTGCCCCGAACCAGGCAGTTCAGAAAGGGTCCCTCGAACACGCCTGGGTTTCCCTTGCCAGCACTAACAACGCTGGAGGAACTCACAGCAGCCGGCAGTGGCACTGCGCAGAGCTAGGAGAGGCTGGTCAATGCTGCTGGCAGGACACAGCGTTAGCCACACCTGCCGTGGGTAACAATCCCCCCCATAGCTGGGAGAACGACGTTCCTACGGCCAGATGCCAATCAGCGACGGCTGGGCAGGGAACCCAGGAGTCCTGACTAGCTGGCCTGTGTGGGGGCAGATTTTCCTGTGTCACAGCTCCTTACGGCAGGGCCGGGGCCGGCACGAGCTGCTGTAAGACCTGAGAGCCCCCAAGTGAGACGATGGACGAATTGACATTCTGCCCTGCCGCAGAGGGGGGTGGGGAGGTCAGTCACAGACATGGGCCATCTTCCTGCTGGCTCCTCTGCACCCCCCCACGGTCTTGGCCAGCCCCCCTCAGCAGTGCGGGGGGCAGAACGGCTCCCGAATCTCTCCCCTCCCCCAGCCTGTGCGGCCGTTTGAGGTGCCAGGCTGCACACAGAGGACCCACCTCTCCGCCGTTGGCATACTCCATCACGAAGCACAGCCGGTCGTTGGTCTGAAAGGCGTATTTCAGCGCCTGCAATAGAGGGAGTGATTGAGAAGAGGCAGTCGCCGGCTGCATGGCTCGGCGTTCCCCGGGACTGTGGTGCTCTTACTCCAGCTCCCACGCCAGGGAACGGCGGAGCTAGAATCCCGGCTCCCAGGCCGAGCGGCACGCCCAGCGCAGGGCCTCAGCTGCCAGCGCCAGCCTGGGGCCAATGGCAGGAATTGGGCACTGGCACATTCATTTCCTAGTGCCCACTGCGCAGCCCTGGCTCGTGCTCCCTCCCAGGCGGCTGCCCGGGAGCCGACAAGCGAGAGATGAACGCTCTGCGCCCGGACACCCAGCTCGGGGCCGCCCCTCCCAGGGGACACTGCTCAAGGAGGTGACGCTGTGAGTCTGAAGGATCTTTCAGGTTTAGGCTGGCATGTAAACAGGCCACTTCCCTGGCTGGCACGCCCGCCCCACCCCGCCCGCCCCGCCCGCCCAGAGACCCGGCTGGCACTCCCGCCCCGCCCGCCCCGAGACCCGGCTGGCACGCCCGCCCCGCCCGCCCCGAGCCCCCGCGGGGGGATTTACCGTGAGGAAGGGATGCCTGCTGTTCTGTAGCACTCTGCTCTCTGTAACCGTGTGTGCCACCTCGTCCTGCAGGGAGACAGACCCGCAGAGATCAGTCGCGTGCTCAAAGCCGGCCATGCCACCCAGCCCCAGAGCCACAGCCGTCGGCCTTCGAGCTGGCAGGTGCGGAGCGGAATCCAGCCCGGGGGGGCGGGCGGTGTTCGCACCCGAGGGGAACAGCTGCCAAGGCACAACGCTCACAGCTGGCCAGCAAAGCATGGGAGAACACGCTCGCGTCCCCTCAACTTTAAGGGAAGCGGGTGCTTAAGTGTGTTGCTGACTCAGCGCCCACAGTCCCCCCCCATTTATTGCTCTAGCCCCGAGGAACCCCAGCCAGGTAGCAGCCCCCATGGCGCCAGGTACTGTACAAACACCACAGACACAGCCCCTGCCCCAAGCAGCTTACAGCCGAAGGCGGATGGTGACGGGTGAACACATTAATTTCTAAGTCTTTGAAGCACAGGTGAGAATTTCTGCCCCTGCTCCCAGAGGCAAACACACAGCAGACAGGAGAGAGACGGACAGCGAGCGTAACCAGCAGAGGATGACGTTACCTAACGACGTACAGCACACGCCTGTGGGTTTGGAATACGCCTTGTTTCGGCTCACTTGGCATCTGCCTTCAGCGAGCTGCCCCCAAGCCCCTCCGCGCTGACCCGCCCAGAACGTACCTTTGCAATGATGACTTCTTTCCGCAGGATCTTCATGGCGTAATAGCGCCCAGTGGCCTTTTCCCGCACCAGGATCACTTTGCCGAAGGTGCCTTTCCCCAAGAGTTTCAGGTAGTCGAAATCGTTCATGGTCTAGGAAGAAAGGCAGACGGGGGGAGGGTTAACGCGCTGCCACACGGGACGGCTGGAAGGTGGGGAAACGCCGACCAATGAGCCAATTGAAAACTGAGGGGTTCTCCCGCCGTGGTAGCTAGTTCCAGCCCGGGGAGAACAGCACACGGCCAGGACACCCAGCTACGCCCCACTCCAGCCCTCCGGCACCACGGGGGGCAGTTCCACCATTGCCGTTTAAACCACGGTCTCTGTGCCAACCGGCCAACCTCAATCAACACGGAGCAGCCTCTTGTTCCAGATAAATATTTACGGTAGTTGCTAGGGTAGGGGCTTGCAGAAATCACGGGGCCAAGTCAATTGTCCCCCCCCCCCGCCCCCGATGAAGACCCCCTGGAGCTGACAGAAGGTGACTGGCGAAAGGGAACCGGGTTTCAGACAAGTCATTAGCAGGATTCACACGTCCGTGCGGTGCGGGGAAAGAAAGCACAGTACGTTTCTGTAGCAGGAGACGGGGATTCCTGAGCGATCAGCACCCGTGAGGGACCTAGGTGGAGTGACCCCCCATCTCAGCGAGTGCGTAGGAGAACCTGGCCGTGGGACGGTCGCAGCTTGGAGCGAGGAACGGACCCAGCGTCACGACTGCGCCGGCACCGGGGGTTCTGACCTTCCCCAGCCTGTGACCTCACAGTACAGCCGAAACAAGGTTTGGGGTCCCCCCGCGGAGATCACGCTAGGCGCCTTACTGCTTTCGCCCGGGTCTTGGTCACGGCCACCTCCATCTCCTCAGCCCCGGTGGTGTCTGTGGGGGAGCCGCACTTGTAATCCATCGTGTCTTCTTCGGGCTCCTGGTTCTTTAAGCTGTTGGCGACGGTCTGAATGGCGTGCATCCACTCCTCCCTGCGGTGAACACGGGGGTCAGCGCATGCCGCAGCCTGGCCCGGCACCAGCGCTGCCGCTTACAGAGGGAGAAGACCACGGCAATCCCACCCCCGGGCAGCAGCCCCCGTCAGAGCTCGGCTTCGCTCTCAAGGCTCAGCAGGGAGCCGGGAACCCACACACCAGCTACGGATGCCCACTCTGCCAGCAGCTAGCGGTGCCCGAGGGTTCCTGGGGGATCAGTGGGGTTCCCCAGACGACGCGCCCGTCGGCGGGGAGAGTCTGTCAGTGTGCAGCGATTCTCCGCGACCCAGCGCCTGGTGGCCCCCTTCACTCTGGTGCGAGGAGAGCGTCACACCCCTGCTCTGCGGCCAATGGCCAGGCAGAACCAGCCCCAGGTCTGTATGGCCCAACCCCACGCACCCCGCTGTGGCTACGCTTCCTTACGGGGGAGGGGACCTGCTGTCCCAGCGTGCAATGCTCCAAGGCAGGCCACGCCTGCGCCCCTCGGGCTCCTCGCTACTTCCTGTCACGGCTCTCACAGCCTGGGCACCTCCACGCCAGCAGCTGGGCAAGCGTGGGGCCACCCTGCCAGTGCACGCGCGCGGCAGCTCACACGCCTGTCCCGGTGGCAGCTGGCACTCCCTGACCTCACCAGAGCTGCGGGGCAAGGAGCTCCCTGCCAGACCCCTCTAGTACGTAGCGTGTGGCACGGGCACCAGCGTGGCCCGTTCCGCAGCACGGAGCTGGGACTCGCGGGAGAAATTCCAGCCTGGGGCACAGAGAGTCCGTCTGCCTCCCCTCTAAGAGCCAGGCACACCCCATCTGGAGCCGTAGGTTCCTAGCTTGGCCTTCCGACGCAGGATCACACGAACATCCTGTCCTGCCACAGAAACGCTTCACTTCCCCGTTCCCACCCTCTGTTCCGCTCGCAGTGCCGCGCCCGGCATGCGGGGAGCCCCTGCATGCAGCACCTGGAACACCGGGGAGCCCCCAATCTTGGTCTAGGGTGGTGGACACACCCTTCTCCCTCTGCCCCCCGTCTCCCCCTTGATGTGGGGAGAACATCTGCCTCTCAGCAGGGCTGGGAGGGCTGGCTTGCCAGTGGCTGCCAAGGAATCTGAAGACAGAGAGCCCGGCCCCGCCCTGCCGCCCGCCCGCCAGGCCCTGTGCTGCGTGATGGGCGTGGAGGAGGCGGGCGCGCCGTGACGCAGACAGGAGCGTGCGGAGCTGCACCTACCGTTCGTCCGGAGAGTCCACGTGAAAGGTTCTTTCGATGACAGTCGTCCACTGCAAGCACCGAATGACGAAAGTGTTCGGCCGGGGCCGCTCTGTCTTCATCAGCTGGCATTCTGGGGGCAGAGGGTGGGGGGGGAGCGCAGGCTACCACTGATTTCTGAGACCAGGTCCCCTTTGCTAACCCGCAACCTCCTGCACTGGCTCCCTGCTCATCGCAGGATCCCGTTAAAATAACGACCCTGTGTCTTTAAATGCCTCCCGTCAGCCTCACCTACAGCACCCCGCCTGCGCCTGGCGCCAGCCACCTCCCGGTACCGCCTCTGCGGCGTGCCAGCTTCCTTTCAAAGATGGCAGCCGGCAGCCCGTCCATACCAGGGCTCTCAATGGGGCCAGCACTACTGGGACTAAACCTGTACTAGTCCCGCATGCAAACGGTGCCGAGCTGGTTGCTAGTCTCCCACCCCGCGACAGGCCAGGCAGCGCTCGGGCGGGGGTGTCACGTCAGAGCATCGCAGTGTGAGAGGGAATGCAGCTGCTGGACGCGCCGTTAGCGGGGCACTCATGTCTGGACAAGTTTGTGCCACCACCTCCAGCTCTAAACAGCACCATGGCACAGAGACCCTGGAGCCTGACCTCTCCTCTCAGCTTCAGAGGGGACGTGGGCTCTGTGAGCAGGGGGCCGCCTGTTTTCCCAAGGGGCCATGCATCTGCTGAGGAGAGACACGGCTGTGTCTCCTGGGTGTCCCTGCACCTCCGGGTTTAACCGGCAGACGTACCTGCGACCGAGAAGTTGTTCAGAGGCGGCAAGCTGTGATCGGACGTCTCCGGCCGCTCCTTGTAGCCAATGAAAGAGCCGTCGCTTTTCAGAAGGAAGTACCTGGGTCTCCATGTTTTAATGTACTCCCCTGGAACAAAACCGTATTGCGCCTGGCGTTACTTCACGCCTCGCTCCGTCCCTTCGCTACAGAGCCCGCGTCAAACCAGCTCCCACCCCGACGTCGGCACCGCAGAACGGGAACGCCGAGCCGCTGCCCTGCTCTCGGCAAGGAGCCAGCCAAGGGCCAAACAACCGAATTTCATCGGAGACGCTCCAGAGACGCGGGATTCCCGCTGACCGACTCACAGCGCTCTCAGCTCCCCACAGCCACTTCGGGGCTTTAGCAGTGAGAGGCTGACACACAGCCAAGGACACCGAGACCACGCCGCCGGGCCGCCCAAGAGTGGGAGAGGTTCCACGCCGGCCACGCTGGGCCAACACTTGAGACAGATCCTTAGTGATGAAATGGGGGGGCCTCCAAGGTATTTCAGGGGTAACCTCTGGGGGAAAAGCAGGAGTTTGGAGGTTCCTTTGGGGCCCGTGTGAATCCCAGTAAGGCAGGTAAATAGCCTTATTTCCCAGGGAAGCCCACCCAAACCCAGGCAGGCAAAGTGACTTGCCCAAGGACACAGAGGGAGAGTGGCAAAGCTGGGAACAGACCCAGGAGTCCTGGCTCCCAGGTCCCTGGCCTGACGTCAGCTGAAGTGGCCGGCTCTGCGGCTGTTTTAAGGGACGTGGTGTCACTCGGTTAGCACCTCTCCCCCCACTGCAGCGTAAGCCGGCAGCACCAAAATCAGCCGGACTGCAGCGCAGCCCCTGGTCCTGGGGCACCATGCCAAGGACAGAAATAGCACCGACTCCTGACCCCCGGGGAGGCATTGGAGTCAAGGGAGCTAAGCGGGATCTGTCCGAGCTGCAGGGCTGCCAGCGCCTACTCCCGAAAGCGCTCGGCAACCAAGGCGAGCACAGGCCCACCTTCAGCATTGCTATAAATAACCCCCGCGCAGCTGCTGCAAGGCCCCTGCACTTCCAATAGCCCATTAACGCTAAAAATAAAAGCGAGCGTCGGCACGGGCCACCCAGAGGGGACGCCGGCCTGGAGGACGTGCCCCATGCTCCTGCGGGTCGCCCTGGCAGCTCCAGGAGCGAAGCCAGGCCAGCCACACCCGGGTTGAAAGCACGACTGTTGCTAGCCCCACTTCTCCAGCCCCCGTTCCCGGGACGTTTACTGCTGCAAGGGGGGCTAGCAGGCCCTGCTCCGGCCACACGCGGAGGCGCTTAACGTGGGTCTCAGAAATGATCTTTTGTTGGCGCTGGCCAGGGAAACGGGCAGACAGCCTCGGCCTGCGCACTGGCACCACAGATCTAACCGTGCCGCGAGCAGGGCCCGGGACAGAGCTCTCCCGCGCGGGCTGCCGATGGAGCGAGCCGAGGGCCGGCTCTGAAGCCAATGGAAAGACTCCTGCTCACTTCGGCTCAGGCCCTAGCTGCAGCCTGTGCCCAGCTCGGGGGAGGGCTCCTGTCTCACCCCACGCTCCGGGCGCTGCAGGGAGAGGGGAGGCTGGGCAGCTGGGTACCTGAAAACCGGAGCCCTCCTTTTCCCCGCGGCGCCCCGAGGCCGGAGGGATGCCGCTAAGCCAGGCACAGCCCTCAAACAGCCGCCCCTTCTCCGCCAGGGAACACCGAGCCTCTGCCCTGAGCCGCCTTCCTGCAGCACCTTCCACCCAGGGCCACCCCGATCCCTTGGCACAGCACGGCAGGGAATCGCCCCGGAAGGGGATTTCCTGCCCGAGGCGTGACGGAGCCGCCAGACGGGCCCACAGGCCCGATGAGAGGAGGCAGGATACAGTCGCGGTTACAGCTCGGCTTTCAGAGCGCTGGCAGTCCCGTAGGTACTGTGCACGGACAGCAAGGGGAACAATCTACCTGCTGTTGGAGTCAGCGGGTCAGAGGAGAGCACCATGCGCCCTGCACCCTGGGCGAGCAGACTCAGGAGTGAAGCTTATCCGCAGGGCGCCGGAACGGCCTGCTGCCGCACCAACAGCTAGGGCCTGGGTTCACACACAAGTTGCAGCAGTTCAAAAACCAGATTAGTTCAGCAAGTGCAAACACCTGTGTGGACACACTTACATGGGGTTAAAACAGGCTCCATGGGTTTAACTCGCCTAGAAATTCACAGTGCACACTAAAGCAGCACAGGCCAGTTTAAACCCTGTCAGCGTGTCCACACACAAAGCTGCACCGGTTAAAATCCCACCTTTAGTTAGGCTGGTGCGATTGTGTGCCCCCAACACGCCCCGCCTTCAGGTGGGAGCCTTACCTCTCTTGTGCAGCCAGCCCTCTTTGACCACTGACACGTCGTTCATGTTGGTGCCCCAGCTCCCGGCCACCTCTGCAGGGCAGGACAAGGAACCCGGGTAGCGCTGCCAGCTGCAGGACGCGCTGCGGGCGCAGTGAGCGTCTGTGGGAGAAAAGAAGCCGTTTGCCATCGCAGAATTCACTGGACGTCCAGACAGAGCTGCGGACGGAGCTCCCACGAATGCCGCCACCAAAGATCCAGGGTCGCTCGCCACGGGGTCCGAATCCGCCCCCTCCGCCCGGAGGACTGAGCACACAGCAGCCCTTGCCCCCGTGAGCTTACAAACCAAGCCAAGGCAGACAGAGTGGTGATCAGATGTGCCCTAGCCTCTGCCCCCCCGTGCCCAGTGCCCTCTGCACGCGCTGCACGGGGCGAAGCACACGGGGATGCCTCGGAGACGCAGCTCTCCCGGTGAAGACAGAAAGGCAGCATCAGTAGGAAACCGCCCCCACACAGGGTATCAGTAAAAACTCCCCCGCTACATGGACGGGGAATCAGAGCCCTGCTTGCAAACCCCCCCGAGCTGCAGGGAGAGCCCGCTACCTGCTCAGGCAGCCAGCGAGGTGTTTACCTCGGTTTCCAGCGACCCTTATCTCCCCGCAGCACCATGTGCTACCATCACTGATGATAAAAAGCCTTGGAGATAAGAGGCACTAATCGCACATGCTCAGATCAAAGACACTGGCGGGGAAAACACACACGCTGCACAGGCAAGAGCCCTGACAAAACAAACAGCTGGAGAAAAATTAATCCCAGTCACCTGACAGACCTGGGGGGGCAGGGCCAGGGATTGTCTTGGAAGCCCGGCCCACGTGGCTGGCCCGGAGCCAGGATCGCTGCCCGGGAACCTAGGATGCTCTGAGAAGCGTCTGTTGTCCAGGCTGGTCAGGGAAAACTCCTGCTAGCAACCGGGCTGAAGCACCCCGGTCTGGCTCCAGTCCAGAGGGAGGGAGTTCGGGGCTCACCCCAGCACAGGGCAGGACACATTTGCCTGCGGCGCCCCTGTGCCGAGCCCTCTCCCTCTCGAGCGCCGCCTGGCTCGAGGCACAGAGCACTAGTGATGGCGCACGGGGACCGGGGGCTCCCGGGCCACTCAGCACTTCTGCTGGATCTATTTTCACTCCAGCAAGCCCGGGAGCCCGACAGGAGCTTGGCTATCGGGCTCCGCTGGGGCGCCGCGCGGCGAGGCAGGGAAATCAGGCTGCTCCCCTCGAACCCGGGCAAGGGCGCTTTCCTAGGCCAGGCTGGAGCCCGGCACGCTGGAGAGCCACGAGACCCGTAGGAAGGTACAAACATACAGGCCCAAGGCCGGGATTCCACGGCCCAGCAACAGCACCACCGGCTCCTGGCTCTCCGGTCTCTTTGGGCCTGGCCCTTCCTCCCCATGCCATGCCTCGGGCCTGCCTCATGCTGGCCCACCCGTTAACTCCGCACGACCCGGGGCTGGTGGAGCAGAGGGAGCCTCTCCCCCCACATCAGCGATCGCTCGCCCCGGACTAGCTACTTCGGTTCAGTGACTGCACTGTGCAAGCCACCGGAGCCGGGAAGTTCCCACGCTGTGCTTCAGAGACCGAGCTCCAGGCAAGCTAGCAGCCACGACAAACAGCAGGACTGAAGTAGGAAAACTAAGCAAGATGGTAATCGGAATGACAGGACTATAATGAACAAAGACAAGGGGAGAAAGAAAACGTCATGTCACTAGAAAGGCAGCTGGGCCCAGCTTTGCAGGGTATAAAGAGACCCTATCTAGCCCGGGCTAGTTCCACCTCGGACGCCTTAGCATAACCGTGCTTTCCCGGAACCAACTCAGGAACGGCAAATCAGAGAACACCCCGCTCATTTTCAGCACCTGCTGTGCTGCTCCCTTTCTCTGGGACATTTCCTTTCCTTACAACTCACCTTGGCCTCACGCGGGACTCACTCTTCGCTCTACTTCCCCCACGTTCCTGCTGCAGAGGGAACGGGCGAAACGTCACGCCGCCGGCTATCTGCCTCGGCTCCAGGGTTGCCTGAACAGGAGCAAGTGGGGCTGGGACAGTTCCCCAGAAAGCTCCAGCCCGTTCAGCGGAACAGCTCAGATCGCCTGTCAAGAATTCCTTGGCATCGGAGGCCTACCCCTCGCCAGCTCCCCTACGCCCGCCAGTGCGCACCCCTTTGGGGAACTAGGTTCTCCTCACTGGTGCTCTAGCACGAACATGCTTCACCCACTCTGGGCTGAGGAAGGGAGACTTTCCTCACTTGTCCGGTTTTCCTCGGAGATTGTCTGACCAGCCCAGACGCTTGGCCAGAGCTCCTCTCCGCTCGCATCTCCGGCGGGCTCGGAGAACTATGCCCAAACATCTGGACTAGTCCAGGATCTCCAAGAGAAAAGCTGGTTGGCCACTGGAGTAACTGAGGTTGAAGACCAGGGGACCAAAGCTCGCCCCATAAGACCAAAATGGCAAATGCCGAAGAGGCGATGTGTAATATTGCCAGCCTGTGGGCATACACAGAGCGGGGGCTGCCTCGATTGGAAATACCCTCACAGGCACTTTAGCAATATTTAACCCTTGGCAATCACAGGGGCTTTTCAAACAGATCTGCCGAACTCCTGAGTGAGGGAAACCGGCAAAGAGAGCGGGAGACGTGCCAGCCGGCGCATTTGGTGGAGAAAGGGCCGGAGGACTCCAGCGCGCCGAGCTTCCAGTTCGATGCTCAGATTGTGCTCCCAGTTTTACAGAGAATTCTGATCCACACCCCAGCAGACAGTGAGTGGGCCGGGCGCGGGCCACATGCAGCCACAGAACTGCCCAACTTCTCTCCACAAGCTCCACGTCTGAGCTAAATAAACCCCACACAAATAAGGCGATTTAATCCACATGTATTTTCATTGGCAAAACTGACCAGAAGCAAGAGGGGGAGAAAGACGCCATCACTCTGATCCCGGCAGACAAGTTTATACAGAACTACGCTTGCAATCCTAGCTAACAAACAAAGCCGGGGCTGCAACTGGATTTCACTCATTTACATAACAGGGCTAACGGTTCAGCAAAACGCCAGCACTAGGACCATCTTCCCGTCGGGACCTGGGGCACAGAGGGCCCTGCCTCACGTAAGACAGGCCAGAGAAGCCACCGCAGTGCTTACCCCAGCTGCTCCCGCACAGCGCGAGTCCGAGGCTGCGAATGCACAGCCGGGTCTTCCTCCCGCGCAAGGCAAACAGTATTTGCAATAGGCTAGAACGCAGGTGACCGGACGGCAGCTGGAAAGACAGAGCCATGTGATTGGGGGAGAGCAAACCAAGGGGTAAGACCCAGGGAACCTGGCGGCACATGGAACTGCTCGATTTCCAAAAGGAACCATCCTCTTGCCCAAACGGCCAGGCTTCACAGGGGCCTGTTGGCACCAGAACGTAACCGTCCCGGCTGTCTGCCGAGAAACGCCCCAGGAACAATGTGTGGGTGAAACAGGCCAGACCAACAGCCTGGTGGGTGACTGCGCCCTCGGGAGGTGCAGATACCTGAGACTTGGCAGAAGAACGGACTTCCTGGAAGTGCCCATTCGCGACTCTTGTTTTCCCCACCAAGGGGGATCACCACCAGGGACTTCTTTGGAGGCTAGGCAGAGGGCGGCTCGTCCAGCCCACAGCCCGGCGGGGCTCGCTTTGATTTAATAAGAACCCCTAGCTTTTCATCCAGAAAGCTCAAAGCACTTTACAAAGGAGGAAACTAGCATCATCCCTGTTCATCGAGGGGAAACTGAGGCCCGGGGACAGAAGTGGCTCACCCACAGTGACCCAGCGGGCCAGTGGCAGAGCTAGGAGTCCCAGTCCAGTGCTCCACGCAGTCCTCTTAAATGCCACTAGCAGCACCGGTCAGACGAACGGCAAACGTGGCCCCTCCCCTACCAATCTCCAAGCGCAGGAGGTAACATTAACCCCGTCCTACAGAACCGCCGGCCAAAGCTACGTACCGCCGAGAAGAGACTGGAGCCCGGGACCGAGCAAGCCGTGGCTAGCTAGAGACGAGACGCAGTCCCAGCGTCAGTGCTAATTTTAGCAGATTAACAACGAGATTATCAAGGGCTGGAATTTCTGACACCGCCTTAGGGTCCCCCAGGTCCTTGGCCCGGCCACGAAGCCGGCAAATTGCCGGCGGGTGCAGGGACGCCCGTGAAGAGAGAGAAGCCATCTGGGGAACGCCAACAATTCGGAGGAGGTGGGAGCTATTCTGGGCCAGCAGGTCGTCAGCACTGTGGGACACAGAGCGACGGCGAACATCACATGCCTCTAAGGGTGACGAGCTCACCTGTATTGCTGACTGTGGCATGCACAACCCGAGCTGGAGCCGAGACAGACCAGCCCTTTGCAGATAAACCACGGCTGGCTCTGACCCACGGGGAGAAAGCTACGCGCCTGTCTTCGGTGTAAGGCAGTGGGGTCTGGGAATGTCTGCCACGCACTTGGCCCCAACAGACGACACAGGGTAACGTTTTCAGACGAGTTTAAGTCACTTATGAGCCAAAGCCCCAGTGACCTTCCCGCTGGCTCCTCACTCATTTAGATGCCTCTGAAACGTCTCCCCCAAAGTCTCTTCCCTGAGCAGTTTGCAATCTAAGAGCAGTTCGGATGGACCCGTCACCTGCCCTGCCCTCACCAGCTCCGCAAGCAGTGGCATCAAAGCCCGGGGTTCCCCACACGCTCCTCGGGTACAGAACAAGCCAATGGAAAGCGTCCCGAGAGCTGAGCTGATCAGTTTAACCCTGGGGAACATGACGCCCCTTTGCACAAGTGACGTGCGGGGCGTTTGAAACTCACCCTGGGATTCTGAGACTTTACTGGGCAGCCGCGTGCAGTGAGAGAGAGCAAAGGGACGTCCCTGCTCACGCACGCCAGCCATAGCCTGAGAGGATGGCAGCGAGACTGACCCTGCGACCTTTAGAAATAAGCGAGGAGAAGCCAGGCAGCACGCGCCTTGGAGCCTCAGGGGATGCGATCACTTCGCAGTGGCCATTCGAGCACCGCTTCTGACTACGATCTCAGCGCTGGCCGGGCTGGCGGGCTCCTGCAGGAGAGCCTGTAGGTCACCAGTTGGAAACCAAATGAACTCAGCACCAGTCATGCT